TATTAAAATAGCTATTAAAAAAGATAGCTTATAGTATTAAAGTTAATATATTATTATAAGTATAAAAAGGTTAAAATAGCTTTACTTATTAAGTTATAGCTTTTTTTAATAATATTATAGCCTTAATATAGGAATTTATATAATAAAAGTTAATATTAATAAGGTAATTTAGTTAGTTAAAAAACTAAATTAATATAGACCTTTATAGCCTATAAAGTAGGGTTAGGAGGTAGCTATAGAGTTGTTTTTATATATTTGTAATCCTGGTAACCTGTACTATAGGTAGCGTCCCTACCTGTGCTAAGATATCTGCATTATTGGATCGCGATTATTTTTTATTCCCTTCAAACATTGTTGCTTCACGACGTGATCTCTTTCCACGTTTCTCCTTCTAGCGGCGCATCATCTGCGCTCGCACTCGTATAAAGTTCGTAATGGGTAAGAAAGCAAAGAGAAAAGCTGCCAAACTCGTCAACAAAGCCCTTACAGCCCTAGGATCTGACCAAATTCCCGATCCCGTCGACAAGGCCTCGTCAAGCGACAATCAAGATGATGTCCAACCCTCCGACAAGTTCGACCAAGGCGTTCCTGTCGCGACGGCCATCGCGACTCTCGAGAAGGATGCGTCAACACAAAGCGACGGCAGCCTGAAGCGTTCCAATCCCCATGACGCGGACGACGGCGGAGAGTGGCAGGTCGTTTCACGGGCTGCAAAGAAGCTCAAGAAGGTCCCTAAACCTGGCAAGAATTATCCCACAATTGCATTCTCACCTAATGCGCGACTGCAATCCAAGATCAATATTTCCCAAATGCGAGACCTGGTAACATATATCTTTGCCGACGGAGCTGGCCCTCAATGGATCGGCATTACCCATCGCCCAGCGTTCCGAAAGATTGTGGCTATAATGATACCCGGTATTGAGGAGGCCATGTTCAAACACAACGTTGACTTCGATACATATAACGATGCTGATCGGGAGGGAAATGCTGTTGTAACGTCGCCGGACGACTATTATCCCCGGCCGCTCAAGAGAGAGCGCCTACCCGAGGCTCTGCAACCTTTCGCCGATATGTTCACGCATTTGTGGCCTGTCAAGACACCCGGTGATGATAAACACGGGAAGATGCATTCGCCCTTGGCCGCTTTCCTTACAACGCCTACCCCGAAGGAAAAGAATGGGCCACAGAAGGGCATCAAGCCAGCACACGAGCCTTCGGGATGGAAGAACGAGAGAACACGCATCACTGAGTTCCTTTGTACAGTTGATGATTTAACTGACAACGGCTACTTGGTTCATCCAGCTATGCTGGAGGGTGTTGCCAGAGATCAGTTCGTTCTCCCCGAAGGATGGGTAATCACCCATGTGAAAAGCCTCGAAGAAGGACAAGTCCCAGAAGGCGAAGTTGAAAAGGGCAGCATCACAGAAGGGCGAGACGTTCTGGCCCTGGATTGTGAAATGTGCATGACTGGAGAGAACGAGTTCTCTCTGACAAGAATTAGCATAGTCGACTGGTTCGGCAACGTTGTACTCGATGAACTTGTCAAGCCTGATAAGCCCATAACCGACTACGTCACCCAATTCTCTGGCATCACAGAAGAGATGCTTGCACCTGTAACAACTACACTACATGACATTCAGCAGAAGCTACTCGAACTGCTGACCCCTCGCACAATCTTGATAGGACACTCTTTAGAGTCAGATACCAAGGCTCTCCGCATCACTCACCCCTTTATCATCGACACATCCATCATTTATCCGCATCCTCGCGGTCCCCCTCTCAAATCGTCCCTGAAATGGCTGGCGCAAAAATATCTGTCAAAGGAGATTCAAAAAGGTGGCGCAAATGGCCACGACAGCATCGAAGACTCTAAGACCTGCCTCGATCTTGTCAAACAGAAATGTGAAAAGGGCAAGGCCTGGGGAACATCTGACTCACAGGGAGAGAACTTGTTCCGCCGACTAGCACGAGCTGGAACTGCATACAAGGCCCAAGGGGGGGCCGTAGGTGGCGCCGAGGTCGGCAAGACGAGTGCAGCTATTGACTGGGGCGATCCCTCTAAGGGAGCTGGAGCCGGCGCAACTCATCAGCTCGGCTGTAAGAACGACGAGGATGTAACTAACAACGTAATTCGTGCTGTGCAGGGAGACCCGGATGGCCTCGAAATCCGCGGCGGCGGTGTTGACTTTGTCTGGGCGAGAATGCGAGAGATTGAGGCCCTTCAAGGCTGGTGGAACCGCAACCGTGTCGACAACACAAACAGCGACGGTGGTCCTCCACAAGACCCCGAGGCCGTCCCATCCGACAAGTCAGAGCTCGAGCGGGCCCTCTTACGCCTGACAGAGCGTCTCACACGCATCTATGATGCCTTGCCGCCCTGCACAGCCTTCATGTTGTACAGCGGTTCGGGCGATCCGCGCGAGATGTCGCGTCTGCAGAAGGTGCAGACACAGTGGCGCAAGGAGTACAACACACCCGGCAAGAATTGGAACGACCTGAGTGTCAAGTGGACTGATGTCGAGGAACAGGCGCTCAAGGAAGCGGCGCGCAAGGCTCGGTCGGGCATAGGGTTTATCTCGGTGAAGTGAAATACCAAAGGGACACAATGGTATCAGATAACAAAGGACACTGTCGCAACTGAAGACGAAATGTCTGATGTGTAATAGATACATATCTTGCTAGGGACTATTTATGGTACTACAAACAGACTACTTGCATGTAAACGGAACGCCGTCTGATAAAACGTCCGCAAACAAACGAGATCAAGTACAAGGGTCATTACAACTTCTCATTAGAATTGTGCCTAGTAAATCCCAGCTCTTCATCGTCCCAGGCTGGTGAATCATATCCAGAACCTTGGCAGCATACCCCTCCAAAATTATATAACTACACTCTCATTCCCACAAAACCTACTACGTAAAAAACAGTAGACATGCTGGGGCTTTGATGACCCCTTGTGTAAATCTCCTTCCCTGAACCGGCTTTTTGTTACGCCAACGCTAGTATGGACATTCTCAAAAAGAACATATCCCTAAACACAAAAGAAAATTGACTTAAGGCAGTCAGACTCAAGCAATAAAAGTTTGCCATAAAAAATCCCGTATGTAACGCCTTCTCGTTCGCTTGTACTTTCAGAACTCGAGTTCCTTCGTGGGGACAGGCGGCTGTGACTGAATTGATTGTGTTTGATTCATAACCAAAAATGAGCGAAGGTGAGCAAGTGTGCTCATGTGCAAGGATCTTGTGGACCTTGGTCTACAAATCGTGTACATGGTTTCGCCCCTTGAGGCAACCAAACAAAAAAAAGAAACTAGTATTATGTTGAAACCCGAGAACGGTGTATAGTGGCTGATCGTGTCGACGAGTGTGTTATGGTAAGCAACATAGAAAAGTGACCAATAGGCCTCCTGCTTGGCTATAACAGCAGAAATATCAAGTGCGAGGTCTGACAGGAGGATCTTCGACGAGCTCAGCGGAGCTGCCGAGCAGATCCACGTCACGGTGCAACGGGTCAACTCGGCTGACACCATGTTGTGACACCATGCCAAAGCTGGCCGGCCGCTCATCAACTGAAGGGCTGAAGTCGATGTTGGTGAACTCGCCGGGGAACTCCATGGATGAATTGGACGACAATCGCTTCTGAGAGTTGGTTCGCTCAAACGGTAGCCGCGATGACGCTGATAGTGTAGCACGGTGGTGACTTGAGGTGCGGCTAACAGCATCGGGGTCTCCTCGCCACTGAGATTCGAAGGATATCGTGGAGCCTGGCATATTCATGAGGGTAAGAGATGGCGCTCGGCTGTGATCACTACCTCCAAAGTGGCCAGAAGCACGCTTGGAGCTCTTCCGAGGAATCTCTGGGGCATCGTCATCCTCAGCTTCGCGCAGTGCGATATGCGGCGCCTTGGACAAAGACTTGCTTGGCTCTCGAGGGAAACTCTCGCTGCCGGCACTGAAAGTACGTCGGGGTCGCTCCAGCACAGGACTCTCCGGCTCAGAGTCTTGAGGATCACCGTTGTCATCTAGTAGAGCACTTTGAGGTTGACGTCCGGAAGACCGCCTTGGTCGAGGCTCGTCCTCATCATCTGAGTCAATTGGACCGTTCCGTAGTACGCCCATAGCCACTGGAATACCCTCAGGAGGCGACTCTCCACCATTCCTAGCCATCATGGCTGGAGGCATCCGTGAGCTCCTCACAACTTCGAAACCCTTGCCCTTCTCCTTTGTCTTTCCACCGAATAGATTCCGGAACCAGCCCGAGGCAGTAGCTACAGGCCCAGTTGGATCGGCGGGACCAGTTCCAAGTTTCCGGCCCGGGCCGTCCGAGTTCAGGGCGGGTCCACGAACCCCATAGTAAAAGTCGACCTCGCGAGTGGCATAATCGGGTCGGTTCGGAGGTATGCTGGTTTGAGAGTATCCAGCGGGAGGGGGCGCTGGTGTTGCTCCTCGAGAAATATCGGCGCCCATATCTGCAGAATCGCCTAGAACTCCAGCTGGGTTAGCCCCCTTAACATCTGCTGGGTTAGAGCCACCAGGTCCTTCGGAGTGGATGGACTCGTTCATCGTCTGTCGTCTTCGAGGAGGTCGATAGTAAGGATCGGCAGCATCTATTGATTGTGTAGGATGATGGCGGGCCGCGCTGGGGGACGGCAGGAACGAAAATGTACTCCTCTCTCCAGGGGTGTTGGGCATGTATGAGCTGCTGCTATCCACGTTCTGCGGCATGCCAGAGTAAACATCGATGCTATCGAGCGCCGAGCTGCTCCTATGCCGAGGGTTCATGAGTCCACCGAGACTAGCACCAGACTCGCTTCGAACCCTTCCGCTTGGCATGGCATATCCTGACTTGCCGCTATCGTCCACGTCTAACATTGCTGCTGTCGACAACTGGCTTGCTCGGGATGGACCAGTGTTACGTTGCTGTGTGTTGCGGCGAGACAGCTGTCGCATACCGAAGATCTTTGTGAGTCCGCCACGAGTCAGACCTCGAGCGTCGTCTCCGCCGGCTCCAAGCATGCGAGCCGCGACTTCGATAATGGTCTGCAGTGCGTTGAGAAAGAACCCAAATATCAAAGCCGCGCCGTGGATTCCTAAGATGATGTAACCAATCCAACCCTTGTCGCCCTCGGAAACATCAAGAGTAGGCACGAATGCTACCATTAGTAAGATAGAAATTAGACGAAGTGCTCCAAAAAGTGTATGATAGGCATTCATCGCTGTTGAACGCTGGAACGGTCGGAAGGCATGGATGGTAAGGATATGGATCACTTCACAAATGGCGAGCAGTACCACCTGGGCGATACCACTAGGCTGCACGGCACCGACAGTGATACCCCGGAGGAATGTTAGGAAGACGGGAATGAGAGCGAACCCAGCAGCCTCGTCGGAGTATGTATTATACAGAGGGCCGTATAAGAGAACAGTCGGCAAATCATCGTACAGGACGGACTTTGGCCTTGTTCTGATGATGAGATAAAAGAGGTATGCCGCGAAGATTATGAGGAAAATCAAGGTAACCACGGCCAGGGCAATCGTATAGGTCGGAGAATCGCCAGCAGTGACTAGCTGAAAGCACGACAGGGCGATAATCGGGAATAAGAAATAGTTGAAGACAATGCGGACGGCGTTGCCAACGGAAAAGGGGACATTCTTTGAACGCAGATCTTCCTCGGGGGTGTTGTTGATCTTTCGGAATAACCACTGCACTGCAAATGCGCCCTGAACTAGAACGGTAACAGAAGCAATGCACACACATAGCCAAACCATCATACCGGCCCAGATATCTCTACTCTCAGCCATGCCAACCAATTGACCAAGCTCTTGAAGTCCATAAGTGGCATTGGTGACATAGATACCATCGACAACGCTTTGCCATGATGGTGCATCGGCGACAAAGCTCTCGTTGAACATTAGAGTCGACCAGGCCATCTGGCTGACAATTGGTTGATAGAAGCCGGGATAGTCAAGGGTGAGGCCACCGCTTAGCGCGATAAATTGGATATACTGAAGGCAATCTCCAAAGCCCGGCGTGACAAGACGAAGTAGATCAACATCTCGACCATAGTTGGAAGTCCAGTGAAAAATATCAGATGAGCCCCAGGGACTGAAGATGGCTGAGAACACGACTGCAAAACCTGTAAAAAGGAGCACTATCATGGGTAAAAACTTGAGTAGCCATGAGAGATCTCCCAGATCCGGGGTCACCGCCATGGAAACGCAGCCAATCTGAGGAGCATCGCGAGTCCCATCAATAATCGACATACTAGGTGCTAGGGAGGCAAATGCATAAGATGAGTAGGCGTCCCATGTGATGTTAAGAGAAGGTAACTTGTATGCATCACTATAGATGTATGGTCAGTATAATTCTCTTGACTTTAATTCGCTATGAATAAGAACGTACCTATAATCGACTTCTTCAAAGTAAGGTCCAAGCGGGCAAGATCCGTTTACCAATGAAGTGTTACAGAAATTAAATTTGTCGTTGTTGTACGGAACATATGTCAAGAAGTGAACCTTGGGGAAGTAAGTCGTAGCGGTGTTGTAGCCATCTTTCCTCTGGGGAGTTTCGGCGATTTTGCCATTGATATCACTGGCATCCTTCCAGGAAGGGTCATCGGGCGGTGGCAGCGCGGTGGTCGTTCGGGCTCCCGTGACGTTTCCCCAAACAATGACTCGAAGGTTGTGTTTCTCGTTCTCGGTATCGAAGACGGCATCGGCGTATAAAGGAACCCATTGCAGCCTCGTCGGTTCGTGCAAGCGGTAGGCGTCGCTGAGGCAGTTTGTGAAAGGGATCCTCACGGAATGAGCAGGCGATACGGCGTGCATTGCAATGAGAAGAGCGACAAGTAGACTTTTGGACGACTGGGATATCGTGCTATATCGAGGGGGCCACGCCCTTTGTCGAGGGACAGCTTGTGTCATGGTTGTGGGATAACACTGATTGCACGAGTGACCAGAAGAATCTACGGGAGCGAAGGCATCAGGCGCGGAGCCAGATATCGGGGATTTCGACGGCCGTGCCACATGTCGCCTCCTGGGCAGGTCTTGGATGAGGCCGCGATGGTGTGAGTAAGGGCGGCAATCTTGCGAACAGTCGAAAAGCTGTTGACTGGCCAGACCAAGCTGCATAACTTCGAGATTAAGACTATCCAATAAGCTGGAATAACCAAGGCTGTTGAATTTGCCAGTGGACTCAAACTGTGAAGGCGAGCAATAGGATCGGAGAGGTTCGTGGTGGTTCAGACGGCGATCATCTTGGGTGTCGAGAAGAGTAAGCCGACAGAAGATTAGAAGACCGGCCAGCAAACGAGCAAACGAACGAAGGAGCGAGCGACGTGATCCTTGAGAGATGGCAACGGATGTGAGATGATGTTTGTATAGATGACCACGGATCAAATGCTGACTGCTACTAGAGTTATCTACGATTGGTAGACAAAGCTGATGAAGCTACCTGAAATACAGAAATAGGGAAGCGAAGCGAAGCGAAGCGAAGCGAAATCGATTGACGGAACGAGCGAGTGAAGAATTAGGCAGGAAGGAAGAAACTAAAGGGAGGAGGAAAAAAGGCCTAACAGTAGGTCCAAGGTAGAGCAGCAAAATGCGTGAGCGAATAGGTAAGGTAGGCAGGTAGGTTCTGCTGTGCGCGCAATGCAATGGGTCGTATGTCGATCGAACCTGACGGATGGATTCTTTTTTTGGGGGGGCAGCAGCAAGGGAAAAGAGACGCCCTTGTCCCAGTCATTGAAGTGGGAAGAACAATCTAACGGGGGACCCATGGAGAAGTATCAGGTACATGTCAAGTCAGCGCTGGGGATAAAATGCTAGAGGGGCCTGTAAGTCTGTAAAACGCCCGGCCCCGGGCAAGACGGCAGTGCACAGGCATGCACCTGAACTACCTAGCTGCTGGCTGTAGTTAGGGAGCTGAACTGGATGAACGGGATTCTGCTTCCCGTAATAAACGAAACCGTCGCTGTCCGTTGATGATGGATCCCCCCCAAATGCCCTGGGCTTCCATGGTAAGGATCTGCAAGTATAAGTGGATTGTTTCCTGGTGAGCATTACGAGCTCCAACTTGGAATTTCTTCAACTGACCCGTATCTCATACTTCTTGTGTCTCATAATGCACCATGATTTACGCTTAAATCTCCTCGTAATCAGCCCTGGCACGAAGGAGTTCGATACCTGGTCTCGAGTGAGCTTTTGTGGAATGCATATCCCTCCTTACCAAGGCGGATGAGAGGATTCGGTTTTGGAGCCACCGGCTCTGGTGTCTGCTTCAAAGCTGGTCATTGTGGCTGGGTCCGCGCTAAAAACGCATGTCCTATCTTTATCTCAGGCCATATCAGGGCTCAAGCCATGGATGCTTATCGAGAGACGACTTCCATTAATTTGTGCGACCAGTTCAAATTATCATCTGAGAGATGATGCATGTAGGAGGTGACGATTGCTTCCAATCTCTGTAGTTCTTGTCCTACCACATATTGAACTGCCTCTCTATTAGGGATTACCTCCTTCAGACAGGATGAACCTTAAGTATCCGATACTTGTGTCCTGCAGCTTTCGTAAAACAAACCCCCTCCCATTGGATGCCAATCTGCGCTAGCCTTTGACGTTTAGCGCAAAACGTCATGGCTTGCGGCTTAGATTGAGCCTGGTGATGGAGCTGTCCCTTCTAAAACGGGCAATGGCCGCTGGACAGCACCTACAAATCTTTCCATTATTTGATTGACGTTTTGTTAGGCTATAAGGTATATCATGATCCGATATTTCGAGTTCAAAAGTGGTCTTCACTCCTCATCAACATAACCAACTTGTTGCCCGCTGTTTCTGCCTTAAATCCGCACCAGATATGCTAGAATTCCAAATTCTCAACTCCTCAATGCAAGGAGGCAGGCAATCTTGTCAGCCACAGCCACGATTGAGCGGAACGCAACGTATATCACCCTCACTGAATCTCTCTGGGCCACTTCTCTGAATTTGATGCTTTGAGCATACAACGTTGTATGCAGTGCACATATAAGCTGCTTACTCTTATACATGATACTGCAGACTCTTCATTGGACGCCATCACTTATTACAAGTCAAGTCGAACCCAGTCTTTCTTCCTGACAGCTAAAGTCTCGATATCTGGATGCGGGATGGGTTCGTGTTGAGCTGGGCTGACATCGAACCATACGTTACAGAACAGAAGGACCCCATTTCATGTCAGTTGCTTCTGCCAGCGTCGACTCACTCTTCGCCTCGTGGAGCACCTACAGCGCAGATACGAGCGGGAGCTGGGTCAGCGTGGGTATTCCCGTTCCCATCTTGACCTTTGCCTAGGCCCTATTCGTTGATCATTTTCACGAGAGCCTGTGACAGTAGTGCCAAACCTAACATGTGGACGGACCAACCGAGTGGGCTATTTTCAGCAACACCCATAACAATGGAATCCATGTGCTCCAGTCTTATTCTTCAGCTCATCTCTACCGTAGGTAACCATACAGTTTATACATACCGGCAGTCTCCTGTTACGTATTGTCATCAAGAACTCTATGCAAAGGAATAAGCTCGCGAATCAGTAACCCTTCTATACATACGGAGGTCGGTCTTAAAAGTCTTTGCCGGCCAAGAGGGATCAGTAACTACCCCTGCAAAGTTAAATAGGGTATCCCTGCTGATTTTATTAATTATTCTTTATAAGTAATTTTTATACTATTCTTTCCCTCTTTAACTAATAAAGAAAATACTATATATATATATATATATAAAT